GTATTTGTTACTTCCTCTTTATTGCTCTTGGTACTATTTTTTTATGTTAATTTATGAAAAAAACCCCTCAAATAGGACAGACTTGGATATTTAAAATATGCTTATTCTAAAAAGCAGCTGTTTTGTTCCCCATTTTTGACAGAATGACACCTTTTTCTTTTTTAAACAATATGGGTGTCTGGTATAAGGATTTTAATAAAGTACAAATCAGTGTGCGTTGATGTAACAGGTTTAAAACAACCATCACTTTTTGGATCAGATAAAGGGGGGACGATGGCTGCTTTCCTCCTCTAAAATACCTTTTCTGTTTTGATCTAATATTGTGAACCACAGGAAAGATTAGTGTCTATTTATGTATGTTAATAAATTACAGCCTAGATAAAACGGCTCTTGGGTATTAGATCAAAGCCGCAGACATTAATTCATAATTGGAAAGTGCTTGTCTGCTGCATCCAACAGGTAATTAGAACAGAAAATTCATTGTTAGACTTTTAGAAGCTGCCTGAAATAATGACGGTATAAGCATGAAGGTGTTTGACAGGGGAATCTCTTGCTTATAGAACCAGACTCTGTCTTTTGAATGCATTTACCTGTTTCTAATGGAATCCCACAAGAGTTCTGATGGACACTGAACAGAAGATCATTAATTAATGTTTTATTAAATTTCTCAGCATTATCTTAATAATTTGCATCTGTAAACCAGGCTTTTGCAAACAGCATGTATACCCAAGGGAAGACAAAACTCTGCTCCTACCATCTTGCAGTCTGAAATGGTGAAGTTGTTCAGAGAATGTACTGAAGACTTAGAGCTGCATCGCTTAAAAGGGAGCAGAGAGGGTTATATAAAAGGGGATAGCGAATCTTAAGTATGCATGCTTCTAATAATTGTCATTCTATCCTACCTTTACATACTGAAACATAAATGGGAGTTATTAGTATTTACCCACTTGTAAAATAACTAGGTGGTTACAGAACTGTTACACTGAGCTGTAATATAGAACTCACTGAAATCAGTCTTGGCGTTTTGGGGGGACTTACTATTGACTTTGGAGCCTTCATGTACCTCATTGGCTGGTTCTTTTTTCTAGTTACCTTTGGAATAGGCAAGGTTTTCCTATTTATTTTATTATGAAATGCTTATCTTCCATTGTCCAAATCTGTAGCTCCATGACTTCCTAAAGGCATTTTTAACAAACCTCTGGGGTTTGGTTTTTTTTTTTTTATTGTTTGTTTTCGTAAGTCTTGTAATAAAATCTTCTGGCCAAGACCCAAAAGGTCTTACGCTGTATCGGAGAGAGTCAAGAAGAGCACACATCTAGCAGAGGATCCTCGTGGACCCCTTGTTACGGACAGAGTGTGCCATGAGGTCTCTGTGATCTGATGTCAACTTTAGCAGCACATCTACCAGCAAGTGTCTGCTTCTGATCACATGACATTCAACAGGGCCATGCAGCATCAGGCATCTTTACATTACAATACAAAAGTAACATCACATTTCTCACTGTTCTAAGAATTGTAAGCATTTAGTATCAGAAGTAACTCTTCTTGACTGCCTATTTGAAAACCAAGCGTATTTATAAATATGTTCTCACAGGTGTCAATATCTGTATTATCTTATTGTCATGCTACTTGGTCATTAGATGAATCTTAATCACATTGTTTAAGTGAGCTCTTCCCTTGATTTCTTTCTCCATTTGCTGTGTGCACTTCACTCATAACTAAGTACTGGAACACAAGAGTTAACAGGTTACTGCAGTCAGGTAAAGGCTGTTTCTCTTTTGTAGCTCTGAATGAGGAGAGAATGAAAGGAAGAAAATCTATTTGTCATTATATTATCGTTTCTATTGAGAGAATGCCCAGGAAAGGAAATGTTTTTGCTGCTGAGGCAGAAAGCCAATTTATCTCCACCACTATTAGGCAATTCTACCACCAGGCTCTTTCTGTAGAAATAGTTTTAACTTCAATTTCTAAGGATAATGTAGCACTATTCCAATAATGTTCCTGTTTCTTTAGTATGCCTTTTTTTCCACAGTTTTTCTGAAGTCTATAAAGAAAACACATTCCATGCAATTTGAAAAGGTTTTTAAACCTTTTTCAGTCATTTTGCTTGCAGGTTGAGAGAGCTGGGTCTTGTAAGCAAAGTTGCTGCTTTGGAAAGGCTTTCCCTGCTGCATTAAAGGCTTATTTAGAGTAGGTATATTAAAAAAGTTAGGTTTTGCTTTTTGGTAATGCATATTTAGAATTTTAAAACTTCTGTATATATCTGTAGCAGACTGTTTGAACAATTTGAGATCATAGGTTGGAAACTTGAATGTGGTTTTGTCATCAGGGTTGAACAGCTTCAAAAGCCATTCTAAATGGTCTCACACAGGTTTTATGAGACGTAGAAAATCACCTCTAAATTTTGGAGTGAAGTTCAGTGGACATAAGTAAAATAACTGAAGTAGCATATAAGAGGCTGAGTTGGAAGTAATGAGCAGATCTGGAGTATCTGAAGTCCTGAGGAGGAATTGCTCTTTTGTTGTAATCTTGGGTGGCTGGCTCAGTGTGCAGCTGTTTATTCTTAGCTCCTGGCTGTGTCATGCTGCCATAAGATGGAATGGAAATCTAAAAGGAAGCCAAAAGCTGAGGCTGAAAGCTTGGTGTATCATATGTCAATGTGGAATAAATAGTTTGGACAATGTTGTTAAGGAAAGGACACCTAAATTATAAATACGAATGGAGGGTGTTCAGGTTTTCCAGTCTAGCATGTCTCTCTTTAAAACATAACTCAGAGCATGTACCACAGTATACCTCCATGGCAGCAGCGAATGAGTGTACAGAAAAGATGGTCTGTATGCATGTCTTAAAAATTGCTTGTTCCCTATCCTCTGTCATTGCAGACTTAATATAAGTAAGATAAAGTGCAATTCCAAGGTGGAAATGGTTTATCAGTGATATATTTATTAAGCAGAAGGTAATAATAATACTTTCTTAACATGAGCGGTCTCTGAAGGAGGACTGACTGGGTCTCAGTGTGTACTGCTGGGCTGCTGGAGATGTCATTGGTAATGTAAGACTAAACTTGCATTGCAGATGCAGGATTGCAAAGATTCAATCAATTGAATTAAGGAATTTGTCCCTATGCTCTTCTCTGATGACAGTTTTAAATATTTGTCTGATGGTCTGAATGGGTAAGATGAGACTTTTGGAGTGAAATGGAAGGATACTGTCCCTTAAATTAAAATCAAACCCCGATCTTTGTCGTTTTCAGTCAAATTAATTCATTGGTTCAACTTCATGAATAGCTATTAAAATTTAAACCTGCCTTCTTCATACACAAACTTGTTTTTCCTGCTTAATGCAGAAACAAGTTCACGTGGAATTAAATAATCAGGGTTGAACTTGACATGTTTTTACTTACGGTAAACCACTTTTTAATGCATTTTTTAACGTGATGATCCTAACCATTTAAAATTGTTCAGACAACCTTTTCCCTTCTGCAATCTTAATAAACAGCTGAGAAAATACAGCAAAATCCTTACACAGGAAAAAATTCCATTAGGTTCTAACACGACTTGATGCCTGGAAGAAGGATTAGAGCCTGCACTGTACAGGCAGTGAATTCTGTTTAAAACACAGGTATTTAGTCTGAAATTCTGAAAGCATTTCCTTGTTAAAACTTTGCGCTCAATGTTTTTTTATGAGCTTGCCTCTGCAAATTTAGAATGGATTTTCTATGCCAGATAAGCCATTTTTGATTAATAATAGAAATGTCAGATTACGTTGGGGAAATAGAAGATGAATCTGTATCTTTCTCATTTACTAGAAACAGTATTGAAGAAAACAATGTTTTAAGAATTCTGATATTTTTAATTTTGTTATTTATTTTATAGCGTATCTTGTCTTTTGGAATTGGTGGATTGGATGTTCTGAATGCCAGCGTTCTCATTTTCTGTGGAGAAGAGAGGAGTGACTTCTCTCACATGTTGTCTGTATTATGTCAAAATCTTGCAGAGAATTTGGGATTGCCTTACTCATTGTTTCAAGTCCGCTTTCACGTGCCCTCACATCATGAAGCTCTTCTCACAAATGGACCAAGCTTCAATGTTAGGCAGACTGTGGGGTTTTTTTAGATGTGGATGTGTTGTGTCTGCACAGTCAGTACTTAGTGTGCCTCCCAATATTGTTATAAGGATAGAGAGTTACAGCATCTCTTTAACATGTTTAAATGGTCTAAGATAACTATTTTTCTCATACATTTTGACACAGCTGAATGAAGACCGTTGCTTTCAATCACATCAGGTTCAGACTGGTGCTAGTTTGTGCAGCTTGAATTTATTTTGTTTCTAGATACTCAGTAATACTTTGTGCATTCAAGACCTTTTTGTGTTAAGGTGTTATTTTCAAAAGCAGTTAGTGGTTTGAGGGATTCTTTAATTTCTTCATTTTGTCTTTTTCTCTGTGTGCTTTCTTTAATATTAGTCTTGTCTGGAGATTTGACATAAGACTATTATAGTAAAGATTGTAAGCATCTTCATAGTTTTTATCACTGTAGCATTTTAGGGAGGCATCTGGAATCCTTTCCTTAAACAATTCGTGAGAGACCAGAGAGAAAAGTGAAGAAGTTATATCAAAACTCTTACTCCAATTCCCTCTTTCCCTACACTTCAGAAAAGGTTTTCTTAAATGTTCATCACACTTCTTAATTTTAAAGAAAACTACGTAAAGCACAGGTCTTTTTGGTTCATGGATAAGCCATGGTAATGAGTTCCTGCAAGGTGGTAAGCTGCAGAAAGCATGTTCTATATACAAATACATGAAAGTTGTATGGCATTTCTGTAAATGCTACTTTGGACATAGTTGCTGTTAAAAAAAACCCTAAACTTTTGGGAAGAAGTGTGCAATTTCTTTCCACTTGGGAGAGTACTTTTTATTTAAAGGAAGTAATCTGTTTAAATTTAGTCATTTCAGGCACAGTTCATAAACCTGTACCAAAATGCCAACATCGATGAAACTCATCGAGTAGCTTAGATTTGTAATTTGGTTTTAAGTATTCAATAGGTCATTCCAGCTTGAGTAAATACTGTTTTCTTCATACTGTAGTAATCTGTTCTTTACTAGATTTCACTGTGATAGCAGGACATTATTGCATATGATCGTGTAGAAACAAACTATTTCATCATATGGATGAGCAGGTGTTTGATATTATTGTCTGTTTATTATAATAAGGGTCTGAACAAAACCGCTTTCTTGGTTTGTTACCTACAGTGGTGATGAAAGGGCTTCTACTGTAGCCTTGATCAAAACGTAGATTCCTTTATTGGAAGGAAGGAGGAGGGGAAAGAAGTTTATTCCTATAAAAACAAAATAAGCAACAAATACAACAGGGAAGTGTATTTCTGTAACCCCAAGTACATTATTTATTCATGGCAAGTGTCAAAATGACACGAACCTAATACATCTGTTACCTCTGAAGATGTGTCTGACTTCACAGAATTGTATTGCCAAGAGAATTATCCATTCCTTCAGTTCTCTGTTGTCTAAAATAGCCATCTTTCAAGGTGTGATTAATGTACATTGGCAGTCACTAGGACACGAGTAATTGTGGCTAATTCTAAAGTGAGTATAATGAGGAAGAAGGGCAGCGTGTGATGGAGCAAGGTGCTGTGATATTTCTTCTAAGTGTTCAGTGATTCGTTCTATGCAGAGAAGGCATGACATTGCTTGCACCTTTCTTGGGAGAAGATCTGTTTGGTGTTCTACAGGGAAGATGTGACTAAATGACATTTTTCCTTAGACTGTAATTAGCAGTCACTTGCCAAAAATCAGCAGTTGCCACAAACTCCACCCCGCAGTTCTATTTCACTTGCAGGAATATCTTAGCTATCTATTTCAAATTCAGTCATCGTCTTGTGGCCTTTCTGTTTATAGGTCAGGTCTTTTGTGGCCAAAGCTTCCACTAGGAAGCTCTAAATACTGCGTGAGAAATATGAGTGGAATCATTGTTTTCACTGTTGTGTTTTTTTTTTTATTGCTTAGTAACTTTAGTTATTGTTTTGTGTGTATCTTTAAAAATTCTTTAAAATCCATTAATGTGCTAATTAATTCATATGTGACATTTGAAAATAGAACAAAGCATCTTATTCTGTAGAGTTCTGGTGCTTTAACTCAATGAGCACAGAGGTGAAATGAGTTTGTTTGCTTCAGAGATGCAGCAGGTAATGTTTTAATGACCTTGCACACTAATCTCTAGCAACTTTATAGCTTCCTCTGAACAAGTTCAGCAGTAGCTTATGCTAAACCTCAATAAGATTGAAACCCAAGTTATTTTCTAGCAGAAATTGAAAACTATCATTTTCAAGTACATGGTGCTAACCTTTGTTTTCTTAGTATAATTAATCTTCAGATGAACAAAGCAACCAACATGCATCTTAAAATCTTGAAAGGCCCGTAGTTTCTGGAGATGGGATGAAGGGTGCACAAAGTGCAGATCTGATAATAACAAATCACGCTCCCAATTGCATAAATTCTTCCTTTCTAAAACCTTGGGCTTCTGTCATTTTCATAAGCATTTTTTATACTCTTTTGTAAGAATGAAACTTTAAACCCACAGCAGTTTGTCCTGGCAATCAAAATAGGCTGCTAAATGTAAAGAGATCCTGTGTAACTTTCATTTAAATCTGAAGGCAGATATGAATGTAGGTATATGCGCACTGGTCTTTTTCATGAAAGGCCCAATTATGTCTCTCCTGGGAAAGATTGTCTTGGGCAATCCTTAAAGGGTAGAATGAAGCATTACATTTTGCTTCTGTGAAATTCTTTGGGATGAGCAATATGGTTACAGATGATTTCAGTTTTGATCAAGTGCCGATGTAAACAGTAGATTACATTTATGAGACGAAAACTAACCACCGTGCTAGATTATATTAAGATTTAGAGAAAGCTCATCATGGAAGACATGCTAGAATACAGTGACAATAGTACTCTGTAGTTCTTCTAAGCAAAGTAATTTATCTTAACATAGTTGGATAAAAAAATCAATGTTTTCTGCATCTCCATGTCAATAAGTTGTAATGATTTTTTTTCCCCACTGCTACGGCAGCTTCATTATTTCGGTGGAAGTGCTTTATATACACCAGCAAAGTAGCATCTCTGATCAGCAGGTTACATCTGGAGTCATTGTAACTTGATAAAATTTTCCCCCATATTGTTGTTCATACATACGTAATATAAAATAAAGCTCCTTCAGTGCTCAGCTTTTAATAATCCTGTTCATAATTAAATCTGACTAAAACATATGCTTCTACATTTAAGTCTTGTCATAAAAACATTTTGAATATAAACCTTCAATACTCAGTAGAGTGATACTAATATATATATATGTACACACACACACAAATGCACTCTTTTCTGTTAGTAGAAAGCATTTTGTTCACTGTTTGCACAACTTCACAGTCATATGTTTTATGCAGCTACTCCTAAATCAGACTTCTGATTGCTCATTACTGTCAGGAATGACAGACGTGAAGGCAGCCTGACAAAAGCGGTGCAATGTTGACATTTTTGTTTTCTGTTCAATGTACAGTCGCAGTTTGTCTCTGAAGGTTTCTCCTAGAAAACTGTAAATTAAAGGGTTCAAACAGCTATTAGAAAAAGCTGCTAGGTTCACAATATGTCCTGTTAAAGGATAATCATGTCTGAAGGATGGGCTGCTTGAAGACACAGGCTCGCTTTTCTTCTGAAGAAGTTGAACACTAATGAAGACGTTTTCAGGTAGCCAGCATATAAAGAAAACCAAGACAACAACAAAAATCATTCGAAGAGCCTTCTGTCGCCGCAGACGAAGACTCCTGTGCTTGTGGGCTTTTATAAGAACTCGAACAATTAGTGAGTAACAAAGACCGATGATCACAAAGGGGATAATAAACCCCAAGGTTATTTCTAGCCATTGGATTTCTTTTACATCTGCAAAACAAAAATAGACCTCTCCGGTGTGTTGTAAATGCACAGCTGTAAATGGAACTAGTGCTGCAGAAATAGATGCCATCCATATGAGACCACAGCTTATTCTAGCGTGTTGCATAGTGCGAAATATGTTGGACCTCATTACTTTTGCCAGTGCTATGTATCTGTCAAAACTCATCCATGTCAGAAAGAAAATGCTGCTATACATGTTGATCTGAAGGAACAAAGACATAAAGGTACAGATAATAGTGATATCATAGTACTTTTCATCAAGATTAAAAACCTCAATAAGAGAATCAGCAACTAAAATGAGATCAGCTACTGCAAGGTTTATGAAGTAAAGGTCTGGAATAGTCATTTTTTCACGAAAGCTTATGTTGACAACCAGTATCAGAATGTTTCCTACAAAACCAATGGGAAAAAGAAATATTGTGTAAAGACATGATAAGAAAAGACCAATAACATATTGTTGGTGTTCTGTTTTATCAGCTAATCTAGAAGATAAGCTTTCATTACACAAATGTGATCCATTTAGGTTAAAAGTTGTGCCATTACATATAATGGGTGATAATGAGGCAGAGTAAGCTTCCATGGTTGAATTATCTGCGGAAAAGATACTGGTACTCACAGTTTGGTGGTAATGCCAAAAAAATCAGGTTTTTTGTTGTTTTCAGCCAAGTTCAAGGTAAGCATTTTGATTGGATTGAAAAAAGATATACACTTTCATTTAGGAAATTAGAATTCTTTAGAAGTCAAATTAGTTAACATTGACTGAAATATAACAGTACATAGAGTAAATTTCTTAAGGTTTTTTTTACAGGACACTAAATACATCGCAAATGAGAGAATTTGCAGTTCCTGTATGCCTTAAAATCATGTAGGAATCTTTTTACCATTATGGTACTTGGGTCTCTTTAACAAAAGCTTTTCATCAACGGTGTTTCTTCAGACAGGCTGGAAGGTAGAGTTTTAGCTCCATTTGTTTTCTTTTAATAATCAATGAACATCCTTGGACCTGCAATTTGTAAATGGAAAATGATTAATCTTATAATCCAGCATTGTACTATGTGTCATAGGCTTCTGCTAACTTAACATCCACAGCTGAGGTTGTAGAAAACATCATGTTTGAGTATATTTACAAAGGTTTAGTTAAAATTATTTCATTTTGCTGTGGATTATAGTATGTCATGAGGGCAGATCTGTAAAAATGTTGTGTGCTCTCAGTATTGGAAAATGTAAAAATAGAGAAAATTAGATGAGTGAGTTTAGTCAGCAGAGGAAAAAGCCTTATCTATGTTTATATATGTGTGTGTATATGTATATATGATGAATATATTTATTTCGTCATCATCTTGTAAGGCTGTTAAGTAGCAGTCTGTGTCTGAGAAGGTAACAGATAAAAAGCAGTTGGTTCCTCCTGCTTTCAGTAAGAAGGAAAGTCAAGTCTTGGAAATGAAGGTAATACAAGCAGCATATTGATTTACACCAACACTATTATACTCAATTTGCTTTTCTTTGGGATTAATTATGTTGCACTGACTTCCGGATAGGAATGGAAAATACCAGTTATCTGATTTGTTTACTTATATGCGGTGAATGGTATGGACTTAAAGGATTGCTGGAAGTTTATTTAAAAGGAATAAAACAAACAAAAGACACCCCAAACAAATAAAACAGCGATAAAATTATAACTCAGGGTACTGTGTGTGAAATTTTAAATATTGTGAATTGCTTTAATCTTCATCTTACTCCCAAACCCTTGGTTTTAATGACACTAAAACATAACAAAAAAATTGGTTACTAGTAAAATTCATGCATATTTCCACATTTTAATGACTCAGTTCCTGCTAATTAACAATCGGGAGAAAAAGGAGCACTAATGGAGTAGGAGTGTAGAATATTTTCAGTCAGAAATACAGCTCTGAATTTGCTTAAATATATTCATATTAACAGAAATAGCTAGTAGACACTTAAAGAAATAAAGGTTATCAGTTTCAAAGCTTTTATTTCTTAATGAATCAGGCATAAGTACACAGTAGCTGTTGCTATGTTTTAAATCATTATCCTAATGTCAGTCTTTACGTTAAAATATCCATATGAAGTTACACTTACTTGAAGAAAGCTTGGTGTTTGTTTCGAGCAGCGATGGGAGCCAGACGTGAGCTGTTGGTTTTTATGTAACATCCTTTTATTTTTGAATAAGGCAGTAAAACTGCTTTAAATACAAGACAAGCTAACAGTCTCAGCAGTTGATTTTAAAAGGTTGGTCTGTGGTCAGATTTTAATTACACCTGAAAGGCCACCAAAAGCCAAGCAATTACAAGCATTACAGGTAACCATGTACTGTGAAACACTTTATTTTACCTTAATTCCATTTCTGCAGAGCTGATTTTTCCTCCAGTCAACAGAAGGCTGTTTCTTGCTCGGGTACACGCTTAATGGATGTGCCAACTTCAGCAGTCGTGTCGGGGAGAACTTGCATTTAGGTGTGTAAAGCTGCAGCGAATGCCACCTGTTGATGATGCAGCAGTAAAAAACATCATATAAAAGTCTATTCTGCTTTAAAATGTCTTAAATAAAGGATAGTTTACAGCAGCAAAATGCAGATCTTGCTGCATGTCCTTGGCAATAAAACAAGCTTTATAGATTCCCAGGGTTGTTCTAATTTGTGTGCAGTTGAAGTGCTGCTGAACAGCCTTATAAGGCTAGAATTAACCCTGTTTCTGCTGGTTTCTTTTCTACTAGGGCTAGTCAAGCATCTTTTCTCTCGTATTTTCCCATTTTGTTGTACCTAATGTTCATTTCATCCTCTGTTCTGCCCCTAGCATTTTTAAAGGTTATGTAGTTCATTCAAACCTACAGCTCAGCTGATCAGTAATGAAGAGATTTATTTGCCGATCATAACTAAGCGTGTTTTAGATAGTTAAAAAGCAATAATTACTGTTCTATGCAGTATGATTTTAAAAGCCCCTGGACTGTCCAAAGAGGAATATTCTATTGAGAGTAATCTAGCAGCTGCAAAGGGTCATTTGCTAAACTGACAATATAAATTCCAGTTTTCCTACCTTCAAGTTGATCCCATTTTGCCTATTTGTATTTATATTTTCAGGTATACATCATCATCCTCATGCTTCTTAGGATTGTTCAGCTGAAAAATCACATGGATAAAACAAGCCTATTTTGCAGAGTATGTGAAGCCTCAGCCTTGCATAAACTCACCAGTGTTGCAGGTGGAGTTTTGCATTTCATCTGTAGGGGGGAAAAAGCTACTTGACATTTCCAGAAACACCACCTGCTGGTGGCCAGGGTTCTTAGAACAGGAACAAAGTTAAACCTTTCTCATAAGAGAAATAATTTGTGTAAATTGCTTTTTAGGATGGCGCTGATTCGATTCCTGAATGTTAAGTGCCATAAATGGCTATGCTGAAATGGATATGCCGTACATTGATGCATTGTTCTGCTGCTACAGGAATAAGACAAATTGGATTTCAGCATTTAGGATTTCAAGAGGACAATGTTACAGTTTCAGAAGTGTGGAGTAAACAGTTAACAGGTCAGTGTAATGGATGTGTTACATCTATTACAGCGGCCAAATATCTTTAGGTGACAAAAGATCTCATCTACAGGAAAGTGAAGCAAAAGTTCCTTACACAAGTGGCTTTGGGAGTAGAAGGCACTTCGCCTTCTAATGCCATTGAGGCAAATACGTGATTTGCTGTCTTTTTGTGGAACACAAGATTTTTGCTGTGTTACTAAACATGTTTTTAAAGATGCTCCTACATGATGGCTGTTTACAAGTAGGTTTGGGTTAAATTATCATTTAGCCAAAAGAAACCTTGCACAAATTAGTGCTGGTAAAGTGCTGAACAGAGGGCTTTCCCTGTGTATGGAATGGTTTTCTGGAGTGTCTTTCTGCAGGGTTATAAGGACGGGAGCCTCAAGTGTTTTGCTTTGAGAAGTGTATATACATTTGCATTGTATACTGGAATAATTGTGATGTTAGAAAAATCTTGTGATACCAGCTTTGAAGATCTTGATTTTTTGCTGCCCTAAAGAACCCTAAAGGGTTATAAAAAGCTTCTGTTGTTTGCCGATCATGTGGTTTTGCGGTACTTAATTCCATCCTTCAGAGCTTTTACTGATCTTCTAAGGGCCAGAAGGATTTTTTACTTTTCTTTATGCGTAATGTTAGCTTCTGGGTGTTAGTTGTTTGTAATTCTGGTGGCCTGGATTTGATAATCAGCTGGTCTCTTTGTCTTTGGTTTTCTACCTGTGAGTATCAGCTGATTTGCTATTAAAATGCAGTATCCTGAGTGCTATTTTTCTGGTTTGAATTCATGCTAACAAATATGTCACTGCCATATTTCCAGAATTGTTAGGAAATTCTCTTCTGAGAGACCCATGAAGCAGCTGCTTTTCCTGCTAGGAGAACTGTGAAGCGTAAGAGGCCAAGTCTAGTATTACTATATTGTAACTAGTTTTTAAGTAAATATGAGATGATCATGTGAATCCTCTGAATCCTGTTTCCTAAACCAGATGGCAACATATTCAGGGTCTTGTTTATGCAGTCAAATTATTGTTACTGATTAATCTATTTTAATCTCACTGTTCATCACTTCCATATTCCATAAAATGCTTAAAATTCATTTCAGCAGCTGCTGAACATTGAACTCTTCTTCCTTCCCTCTCAATTGCTGATATTCCGTGGGGCTTCATAGAGAATGCCTTAATGATCCATTCTGATTCACAGTTGTGACAGTACCAAACATTACGGTTCTGCCTGTCATACCTTACCTTGTTTGTTGCTAAAACGTATGAAATGGACTAATGTGATAGCATTTGTATACTGTCAGACCTCAGTAATCCAGCATTTAAGATTTTCCTTAAACAAAGAAAATTAAGGTTTATTTTTAAATCTGTAGTAGACAACTTCTGTATATATCTCAACATGTCTATGACTGTGGAGTCTTTAAGGAACACTAATTGTCTATGATGTACTTAGATGCACCCAGAGGCTAAAAGCGGGTTTAGCAAAAGATGTTCTATATAATTTAGCAGACTTCAACATATGGGACTGCTGTTGTGTTGCAAAAAGGTGAGAGCTGAGGAGGAAGAAAGTGTGAGGTGTGAGTATAGAGGAAGTAGAGATGCTGTTATAATGTTCATGAAGTTTTATGAGTAGATGGATCTCATCCTCCAAATTCTTTCTCATCTTTCTGTTATGTGGGTACTGACTGTGACCTTTTTCAGCCACTGAATAACATCTGGTTGCATCCATTACCCTGTTCTAGAGCAGCCTCACGCTTTATCCTGTCCGTTCTCAGTAATTTTCCCTTTCTTGCAAGTAATCAAACTTAGTTTAACTTGGAATTGTGTTCTATGCCCACAGAAAACCTTGGCTAGAGTAGATTTTGTGTTTAGGCATTTCAGTTGCCAGTAACTCCGAGAATGCATTTTTCTTACTAAAAATAAGTTTTAGAAGTTAAGCCTTTTCTTTGGCAGGGACAACGCCCTGTAAACTATTTTGGTAAAAAGTTTTTGTTTTTCTTCAAGTGTATATTGCAAGTCTCTTGGGGATAATATAAAAATTTTACAGAACTGGACCACAAAATGTTATCGAGTGAAAGGTGATTCATCACGGGACTTCAGGCTCTATCCAGATACGATGAAGAAATACAGTCTGCAAAGCATCAATGGTTTTCACTTTAGTTGTGCAGTCTGGCAGCCCTTTGCAGGGCACTTGTACCCACATGGAGGTGAAATGCATTCTTTGATTCTAGTCAGTGATAATTTGTCACACAACATGTGTAGTGTAGATGTTATATAGAGTACTTATTTTGGCTGAATTGCCTTAGCTTTCGCCCTACCCCAAAACTTCTGCAGCTACCTCAAAATCAAGATAAGCAATACTGTTGCCCTTTCAGGGTTTGTACATTTGAAATTAGAATGTAACTAGGGCTTAGTAATACATGGGCGTAGCAGCTCAAGTTTTGATTCAAGTGTGCAAATCCAATCTCTCTTTAGCTCAGATGTTGTTTTGCAGTGGGATAAGAGCAGATTTGAGTCAGCTGGTTTAGCAAGATGAGTCTCTACATGTTCTTTTCCAAAATGTTACCAACTCAGAAATTCATGCTTAAACTTCAGCAGCCAGCTCACTTCTTTTACTGAATGGAAAGGTTTATTCAAAAGCAGGCCAAAGTCTTTCAAAGAAAGGAGTATTACCGGTGCAGAAGTAAAATATTCTTCTTTGAATTTTCCAGTGTATTCCTTCAGTTAATTTTGACATCATGCCTATAAAAATATATGCTCTTTTTCTTCTGGAACATACTGTTAAAAATTAGGGGAGGCCTGGAAGTAGTAAGCGTTCAGCAAAGCTGTTGCTGTTGTAGGGGAAAGAAATCTCTCAGAGCAGGGAAATTTTATTTTGTTCTTAAAAATACAATTAAAATTATTAGTAATTTAAAATTATTGCTTTTAATCTTAGTCACGGCTGCTCTTTTCTCCCTAGTGTCAGGTTGTTTTAGAATGCCTTTTGGCGACAGTTTCTGTTCCTTCCTCTATTGCACGTAGGGGTACTTGTCCTCATCTAGTAGGGTACAAGTAGGTTTTTGCTGGGATGGTATGTTCATTGTCCTGAATTTTAATGTAAGCTCTGTGTAACTTTATCACGAATGATTTAGCAAAACATTTATGCACTGCTGGCAGTTAATTTATAACCATTTGAATTATTTTAATGCATTTTTCCACCTCTTCTCTGCTGTTTACTGTTGTTTTCTCCTATTCAAAGTCTTTTCATTGCGCATAGAGATTTTTTTATGACAATATAACTGGCCATCCAGAAAATACTCTTTTCCCCATGACCATAGACATGGACAGGGAAGAGGCCAGAGTACATTAACTCGCATCTCACAGACTTCAGCCAGGAGCTATATCCAGGATTACACAGTCTTGGTCATTTTTAATATATCAAGATATACTTGTTCCCAGATCCTAGCTCTGACAGTAAGGCCCTACTGGTTTTATTACTTTGAGACATTTGGTTATGGGTCTGCTTCAGCTGTGTTCCTTGCTGAGAGTATCATGAAACATCATCTTTCCACCTGTGTTGAACCTTCAGGTCCCTTAGAGATTCACTCATCATTAGACCAGTTTCCAGGTCCCAGCCAACATTAACTAAAGCCAGCATTTACTAGGTTTTCTTTTAAGCACCTTTAACAGTAACTCAGGACTCAGAAACAACACAGTATTTATTCTTTCATCCTCAAATATAAAATATATAGAAGCAGTGAATAAAGTATAATCCTTTGAGCATAATTGCCACACTGGAAAAATAACCTGCTTATCCATGGTGCAGCTGAAACTATGATGTTCATCTGAATTGTGATAAACAGCTTGCATCTTCTGACATACTCTTTCACTCAGTCTGTCAGCTTTTTCACTGATGTACAGCTCTTGGAACTCATATCTTCAAACTTCTTTCTGCAGGGCTGATATTTGGTCCATGTTGTTTAATCTCCTCCTTCTCAGGTGCAAAACAAACTTTCTGATGCCAGCTGAGAAATCCTTTCACAAGTATGAAATTGGGTCTTGTATTCAAAGAGATGATTATCTACGTACTTCCTTTCTGACCAGGTTCTATAATGGTCTGTTTATATGTAGTGTCCTTTAATTAGCCATCTGTTCATGCTGGCAGCAGAACAAAATTGAACAGGAAAACAGGCTGACTTAATACAGTGCAGACATCTTACCAGCTGATTTTTGCATCTCACAGAAACATTGGTTCTTATGGTCATAGCTGACTGAAGACTACGTATTGCCCTTTATTTGCATGTGATGCAGTCATGGTCCATATATTTCAGGACTTGGATGTCTAAGACTAGATCCATATATCTAAATACTGGGTCTAGAAACTTACTGTTGAGCAAATACAATTCTTCCATTTATGCACTTAGTTGTTTTATGGAAGATGTTCCTCTTGACTGATCAGTGCTTGCTTTGTCTCAGGCAGCTTGGGCTAATTTGCACCAACTCTCTACACAAATCTGGACCCTATCAGGAAGACCTTTCAAAGCATACAACTCCAAAACCAAATCTGTCACCTCCATTAGCATCCAAGTGTCATGCAAAGGCACATATTTAAGGATGAAAGTGGCTTTTCTCAGAACCCTTCAGGTCACTTGAGCTTTCCTCGTCACACCACTGTATTTTTATAACTTCGCAATTTAAGTTTTCATCTTTACAGAATTACAGAATCACAGACTGGTTTGGGTTGGAAGAGACATTAAAGATCATCTAGTTCCAACCCCCTGCCACTGGCAGGGACACCTTCCACTGCTGCCCAGAAAAGGGTTGTCCTGGATGGTGGGGCATCTGCAGCTTCTCT